GTGTGTGTGTGTGTGTGTGTGTGTGTGTGTGTGTGTGTGTGTGTGTGTGTGTGTGTGTGTGTGTGTGTGTGTGTGTGTACATATTTTAACAAACCAGAAAATACCAAGTCTTTACAGGCTTGAAGAGAGAGAAAATGAGCTGGCGTATTCACAATTAGCGAGCAGGGGTGATAGGCTCCTGTCTTCAGCATTTAGTGTCCGTGCAATAATGAAGCTCCCCAGCAGCGGTGGCAGGATTCTTGTCATTAATCTGGAGCTGTGAGAAGCAGCAACACTCAGCGGTGGGGGGGGGGGGGGGGGGGGGGGACTGCTCCAAGAGCCAGTTCTCACCTCCGGGGGTTGTTTACGCCAAAGCAGCCTCGTACTGGAATGGCTGGAGAAGGAATATTTAGAGCCTGTTTGACCTCAGCCTGATATTCAAGGTTGGCAGAAGATCCTGTTTCACGATAGCTATTAAATGGCCATTCGACACACAGAAAGAAAATCCACTTTACACTTCAATGGTTTATTCCAGACACGGTTGTCCAGATGCCACGACACACACAGCAGAGGCTGGCCAGGCTATGGTGAGAGAGCAAACGAAGGCCACGTCTTGCGATTTTGCTCACAAGGAAGTTAAAAAACAAACAAGCAAACATGGTACCCAGTTACCAGCTGTATAACCCTGGGCAAGTAGCTCCACCTTTTTGGGTCTACATTTCCTCATCTGTAAATGAGGATAACCACACAGGATGTGAAGAGCTTAGCACAGAGCCCGGCACTTAGTAAGTACTCAAGAAGCGGTAGCTATCACTAGTATTTAGTAGAAAGCTAATACGTGGCACACCAGTCCCCCTTTCTGCACAATGGGCACAGCATTGCCTATTCAATTCCTCAGAAAAGTGGTAGGAAGATTAAGTAACAGATGGGGTAGGTTCTGCTTGGTTAGAGGCTAGAAGCAAGACGCTTTTCTCAACTAATATCTCCTGAGTACATGAAAACAATTAATTTGTGACGTGCCCCCTGGTCCTGGATATATCTAGGCAGCTTGGGAGTGAACCCGACATCAAATTTATGAAGGAGCTTGCTATACAAAAGAATGCAACCCGATTGAAAAAGGGCTCAACCCCGAAACTAAAGCAGGCACATCCTTATTTTCCAGGAAGTTATTTGGTTAAGTTCTTTCCCAGAGGGCAGAGGAACAGTGAAGTTTTGGCACCGGACGTGTCTGCGCTTGAGTTTAGCACTGCTTTCTGTGTAGCCCTGGGAGAGCGGAGAAGCCTCTCTGGACCTCAGTCTCCTCGTTAAGCAGAGAGGCCAAAAACTCCTGGGCTTGCTGTGAGGATAAAAATGGGCTGATGAATGTGACGAGCTTAGGAAGCATTTAGCCCAGTGCCTGGCACATGCTGAGAGCTTGATAAAAGCTAGTTGCTGCCGCTGCTGCCGTCAAGTGGGCCCAGCGGTATGCCATGGATTGAATTTTCGACAAAGGAACCGTACTATTTCCTTCCCCCAAATCTACCAAACTAACACAAGGTGGAAATAGCTACTTTGATGTTTCTATGCTCCCATGAACTATTTAAGACACTGTGGTAACCAAGTCACTTGGGGACCAAACAGAGCTATTATTAGAATACACTCAGCTTGGGGATTGAACGAGTTTGTAGACCAGTGGTTCTCCATCTTGGCTGCAAATGGAATCACCTGGGGAGGCTTGAAAAATCCTGATGCTCAGGTCACATCCCAGAGCAATTAAATCTGAACTTCTGGGGATGGGACCCAGGTACCAGGAATTTTTTAAAAGCTTCCCAAGTGATTCCAGTGTGCGGCCACGGTTGAGAACCACTACTAGAGACCAAAATCATTAGCTAACATTCAAAATCAGTTGAGCAATAAGCCCCCTGTCACCTTGACCCTAAAGATGACAGACTACATGGCTCAAGGGAAAGGGGGTAATGGCCTGAGAAAGGCTGTGCAGTGGGCACAAGCAGGGCTTGGGGAGCGAAGGGAGGAAGTGTGGAGAGTAAGAAGACAGGTTCTGACAGAGAGGAGGATATGCAGTGGGGACGGTCCCCAGGGAGGGGCTGGGGCCTGGAGATCCAGGCACAGAGTCTGGAATCACTCGTGAGGCAGAAGGTGGCAGCTCTAGAATCAAGGACTGGAAATTCTTAGAGCTCAGTGGAGACAGGCTACGAACACTCTTAACAAGCTTGAAAAGGCAGCAAAAAAACTGTCCTCTGACTCTACCATAAGCCCAGGTAATCCAGTTCTCTCAGGGCAGAGAATTTCAGGAGAGTGAAGTCTGTGTCACCACAGCTCTGAAAGGCAAACACTCATCTTGGAGTTGTCACCCACAGGAACAAGACCGCCACAAGTGCTAATATTACGTTTTAGCCCCTGTTTCTTCATCTTCAAGAACAACAAAAAAACTGAAAATAGAAAAGACAGCTCTGGAAAAGAAAGGTTTATTCTGTTCCTGCCATTGTTGGTTTTCAATCAAATACGAGCCCCCTCCCCTCCCCTCCCCAACAGATGACCAGGGTGAATAACTACAAATAAAGAGAGAAAGCAGAGCACCCTCCCCTCCGCAGGCTTTCAGAGTCTGAAGCACAGCTCATCAGGTGACAGTAAGCGGACTTCCCGCCATGGTTAAAGTCTTAAATAACAAAGAGTAAAATACTCAAGGGTTAAAACTGGTAACGTGATTAAAGACGGTGTAAATCAACGATAGCTAAGAATAGTGACCGCAGCTGTAACTTAATGAACACCTTGTACAAGCCCAGACACTGGGCTGGGTATTTGCGTACCATGTCTAAAATCTCTCAAAGACCCTGCAGTGTCCTATCTGACAGATAAGGAGACCGAGGTTATGTTACTCTCCCAAGACCGTATCCCGTGTTAGCGGCCCTTAAGCTAAACTCAGACTGTCCCAGAAAACACACCAAAGAAATGTGATGTCAGGGTTTAGCTCTGCAGGTTTCTCATTCTAGTTGAAGAGTCTCAAATGAGACCATTATTGCCCACCTCTCAGTGGGTAAAAAGCAGGCAATGATGGGGAACTTTTGGCAGAAAAGGAAGGGGAATTTTCTGTGTGGAGCAAAAGGTGACCATGAGGGGACAAAACCAGCAGCTGTTCCCCAACACAGCCTACAGGGAAGAACACAGGGAAGCTGCGGAAGCCACCGCTTCCCAGGTCATTTTACCTGTGGCCAAGGAGTCCGACGGAGTCCTCTCCCACAGACTGCAGGCCTCCCTCAATCTGTCCTGCAGCTTAAGGGGCCACCTCAGTTTCTGCTGTTCATATTACATCCATAGTCCATGTCTAGGCTGTGGGCTTGAATCTGTACGCTTCCCAAGTGTCCTTGGCTTCCACTCCTCTCCGCTGGGGGAGGTGAGAGGATAAGAGAGGTTGGAAGCTTGAGAGCTCTAAGACATAGACTTAGGGCCTAAGATGAACAGCTAAAGTCTATTCCTTCACATCAGATCCTATGGTTTCCGAAATCCTGATTAAGTTTTTTAAAAAACTCCCCAAACAGGGAATTCCCTGGCAGTCCAGTGGTTAGGACTCAGCGCTTTCACTGCCGGGGCCTGGGTTTAATCCCTGGTTGGGGAACGAAGATCCTGCGAACCTCACGGTGTGGCCAAAAAACAACAACACCCCCCCCAAAAAAACCCTCCCCGAATAGATTACTCACTAGTTTACAATAATATAACTGACCAGAGATCATATTCAAATAATTACTTGTTACAAGAAAGCAAAACTGAAAGGCTTAGGAAAGATATTTAGACTCTCATTTGGGGTCAATTCCTTTATGAATATTTATGAGGCCAACTGACACAAGGATGAGATGAGAAAAAAAAATAATGCAAGGCTTAAAAAGGGCTAAATAAATTAAAGGGCTTTCCCTAACTCCAGGCGGTATCCTCAGAAGTTTCCATTAAACATTTTTAAAAGTAAGTGTAATAGTTTCCCTTGCAGCATTGATTCTGCAAAGCTGAAAAGACAAGGCACCATTGATCTGGACCCACTGGAAGGAGAAGCTCAGCTCTGGAAGAGACCAGAAGGTCACTAAGTTGGCTGTACCCCAAATGCAGGAATCCCTCCTTCAACACCCCTCACACTGGCCCTGGCCTCTGTCATCGAATGGGCTGCTGTAGACAGTCTCTGTCCGAGGAACTTTACAGGACTAACTTTGCAGTGCCACTGGAGAACAGCCCCGGGAAATTCTTTTTTAAATGGACCCAGTCCACCCATTGGTGTGTTGGTCTGTCTTCTGGGAAAACATGAAAGAAATCTAGTCTTTCTTCTACTTCAGAGCTCTGCAAATATTTGAAGAGAGCTCTCTCAAAGTTTCCTCTTTCCTAGTCTCATGAACTGTCCTTCACAGGACCTGAGGCACCATCCCTAACCATCCATTCAACCAGTATTTATTACCTGAGCACCAAATACCGTGGGAGGGGCCCTCTCGGAGCCTTCTAATTTGTCACAGTCCTCAAAGAATTGCACTCAGAACTGAAAACACTTAAGATGTGGTCCACAAAAGAATGAAATGATTACTTCTTTGATTTAGACCTTGCTCTTTTTTACATTACTGCAGCTTATACTGGCGGTATGTGCAGGTACACGTCTCTGCGTGGTTTAGGGTCATATAATGAAACGACGAGGGAAAACAAACAAAAAACCCAACCAAACAAAAGCCCAGTCAGTCCACAAGAAAAAAGACCTGAGAAGGTTTCTTGACTCATCGTCTTCCTCTAGTTTACACTTACGCAATGAATATTTTACTTTGAGTGGAAAACTCCATTGCCCTTGTTATCTTGCTAGTTTCAGTCCATCGTCCCAACCCAC